ATATTCGTGCAAATACGGTATAAGCATTCTGTAGGATCGTCCAACGCAACATTCGTGGAGACAAGATGTATGGCATTTGCTTTGCAGGTGTCAACAGTCCCAAAGGTGGTTTGTGGTGTTATGACCTCGAAGGCAATACGCATAGTCATGGAACTTCTTTACGCTTGCCAGCACTGCAAAGGCTTCTTTGTTGATTTGAGCATAGTTTGGCTTGGTAGATGTCAATGTGCGGGAGTAAAATGTGACGGGGACCTCTTTGTCATCTTCCGGTCGACGGCCAAGTACAGCTTTAATGTATGTCTTATGGCGAGGCATCACAAGTGAGCACAAAGGGCTTTGTTTCATCATAATGGTGCAGCACACTTGCTGAGGACAGCAGCTGCTTGCGTTCGTTGAAAACTTGTTCATGAAGAGGCGTCCACTCCCACCGTGCCTCTTTGTCAAGTAGCTGACGTAGTGGCTCGGCCACCGCTGCCTTTTTCGTAGAAAGATGCGATAGAAGTTTAGCAGTCTCAGGAAAGCCTGTAGTTCCTGTTTGCTTGTTGGTACTGGTGCCTCATGAATCGCCTTCACCTTTTCTTTTGTTGGGTGCACACCCGTCTCGTCAATAAGAAATCCCAGGAACTCGAGCTGCGACACTTCAAAATGGCACTTTTCACTTTTTACCCCGAGTCCAGCATCAGCAAGACAGTGCAGGACTTCCTCGAGGTGGCCTGCCAACTCTTCTTTGGTGCTTGCAGCAATTAGAACATTATCGAATTATGACACAATCCCGGTGATCCCCTTCAGGAGGTCGTCCATGAAGCTCTGAAAGATCCCAAGAGCAACATTTACTCCAAACCGTAGCCGCTTTACTCGAAATGCTCCTCGATGGGTTGTGGTCGTTTGTGCCTCCGCCGCTTCTTCATCAACCACCAGCTGCTGGTAAGCTTCTGCCAAATCCAGTTTTGCAAACAGCCTCCCGCCCGAGAGTGATGCCAGGAGGTGCTGTACCATGGGGATCGGGTACGAGTGTTGAGCCAGTGCTTTGTTGAAAGTGCACTTGTAGGCGCCGCATATTCTGATGTCTCCAGTTGCCTTCATGGGCGTCACAATCGGGGTCTCCCACTTTGGTTGCGTGACCGGCTCCAAAATGCCTTGTTCAATAAGGCAATCATGTTCAGCGTCAATTTTAAGCGTGAGTGCGAAGGGCATTTGCCAGGGTTTCATGCGGACTGGCATCATTGTAAAGTCAAGGTGCAGCGACACTGGGGGTCCCTCAAACTTCCCAATCTTTTACCCAAAAACGCCACCATACTTTGCAAGCACACCTTCAATAGACAGACCTGTGACCTTATTTACCCCTAGCAGCCTGATACCCAATGGTTTAAACCAGTCCATGCCAAGGGGGGTTGTCCACTGTCCCTGTGTTACTAGCAGTTTCAGGTCTCCTTCGAAACTACCGTGCTTGACATGGACCTTATACACTCCCTTGATCTGCACCGTATTGCAATGGAAATCTGACTTGCAATTAAAATGGCTCACCCGGTACAGAATCTTCTTCATGACCTCATTTGTTTGTTCTGGGATCATCGATAACTCTGACCCCAAGTCAACCTCCATCATTGCCGACGTCCGGTGCTTACGTGTCTGCGATGCCTGTGGCGGGGCCAGTTAGTATCGTACACATCATCAGATTGTGTGTCCAAGTACAGAACGTTCGCCGTGGCTTTGGATCCTCTTGTTCCCATGGCCCGCTCTGCGCTCATTGTTTCATGCGACACACACAGTCGATGCGGCCGATTTTTCTGCATAAGTGACACTGGGCATCCTTAAATTGACAATGCTCCCGTGCGTGAGCTCCTCCGCACCCATTGCAAGGCTTTGTTTTCCCGTGGTATACCGTTCCCTTGTCGGTTGCCTAAGCGTGTTTTCTCCTTCCTCTTAGTCCCGACGTATGGCAACGTCGGTTGCCACAGCTGGTTTTCCTCCCCTCACATCGGGGGTGCTTTGAGCCGCCGCTTCAGCTGCCAGCACTTCTTCCTGAGCGATCTTGAATGAAAGTTTTTTTTTGCGAAGAGTTGAACTTCAAGAGTTTCATCCCTCAGGTCACACACGAGTCGATCTCACAGTATTTCCGTGAGATTTGGAAAGTTGCAGTTTTGTGACAACCGCCGTAGTTCCACAATGAACAAGGCCACAGACTTCTCGGGACCCTGATTCCGCCGGTAAAGGCATACTGGCGTACAATCTCCGACGGTTGGCTGAAGGTCTTCGTTTTGGGAGTTGCCAACGCGAGTAGTGACTGTACTAAGTTAAAAGTGGCAGCTCCGCAAACACTTAAAAAAAACAGCACGTTTTCTGGTTGGGTTGGTGATATCGTTTCCCTCGAGGTGGAAGTTCAATCATGCCTCGTAGGCATCCCACTTCTCCGGAAACGCAGGGTTGAATTCTCCTATCTGTCCCAGGGTCGCCATTTCTTGTCGAGGGTACAAGGAGGGTATCCGAACAAAGGGTGATGTTCACAAACCTTGTGCCTCACCTTACGTTGTGATGTGGGGCCGTAGAGTGCGGCAGTCTCTATGCAATCTTATCCTCATCACATGATAGATCCTGGCCAGTAGATGATGACCGGATAACATGAACTATTTATTGACTCAAGATACAAAGGCTACGTAATGAAGACATGATAGGTTCACTGGCTGGCGTTGGCCGTTGACTGCGTGCTTCGCATTTTTTCCGCGGTGTGGCGTAATCTTCTAGGATTGCGGTCTGTGTCCCAGATGGTGCCACCACTCTACACACAACAGTCACCATGAACAATCTATTGAAACTGTGGCTATTGCCAGAAACTTTTGAATAGGACACTGAAGTAAAAGTTTTTGTCAGAAAAAATAGGTGATTACAAGCACAGAGACATCAGAACCATTCAGCACATAAGGGGGGGGGGGGGGCGACAGTGGTGGGGGGGAAGGGCAAGTTTGCACCCCTCCTCCATATTTTTTCCATTAAATTTCTGACCTGTCGGGGGGGGCAGTCTTCCCCCCCCCCCCCCCCTATTTCTTTTCGACGCCACTGTACAAGCAGAATGTGATTACAACCATTATGTCTGTAGTCGACTGTATACTGGTGTTGAGGCAACAGCCATTTGCAGCGAGAGCTATGGTAAAATGCGCCTGATTCAGCTGTCGCACTTGCTATGTATTGCAGCGATAGTTTCATTGAGTCGCCCCGCAACAGAGTAACCGTCAAAGAAAAGAAAGTCCGAGTGGCAGAGGAGGGCTGCGGCTGCACAGTTGGCAGGACTCTTCGTGGCGGTGTATTGACGGCACTTTTTAACATTTATGTTCACACACTCTTTGCATCAGCCTTGCCTGTTCGTGATAACGATGCCCTTTGCCTTTATCTTCATGATGTAGTTTCCATGTTTTGAGCGCACCTTCGGGGCCTCCTCGCCGAGTATGGGAAGCATGCCTTGCCGCGAGCTCGGCCAGGCAATGATCAGCCGGCAGTGGCCCCCAAATGCATGCTCGCTGAAACGCTGCCACCGAAACATCGGCCTTTGCGGTCCATGACATATGGATCCTTGCATTGTTTACCAGTACTTCACTAACTCATAACTTTACTATGAGTGGTGTCTAGAGCCGCTGGTCAAATAATTGCAGGATTCCAGTTACGCCTTGAACCGCATATTTAAATTTGTTCTTCCGACACAATAGCCTTTCGCATCAAAACTTTGTCGGTGGCATATTGGAACTTTCTGCTCGTAGCACACTTTACCAACGCCGAAATATCCCGTACGTGCTGGTTGAATGTCGTCATCGTAAGTTTGGCACAGTTTTTCAAGTTCACATGCCAAAAACCAGGTAGTTTTGTAGAAAATATGGTGCACATCAGTGCATGTCCGGGCAATTTGTGGCATCCTATGCCTTGGTAAGTGCTTCCATGTGGTGGGAAGTCAATCACCAGCATGGTGCGGGGCCCCCGTTCGTTTGCCGTCTGATAAGCAAGTTAGTTGCTTCGTTTTATATGAACCACAGGCAGCCCAAGGAGTTGTGGCTACTTTTCGATACAGTGCAGTCAAACGCACTGAAACGTAACTGTGTGTATGAGCCTTTACGCCGCTGCGCTTCCATTTTGGACTTGCAGTTTGTACTTTCTTTCGCTGCCGTTCCCACTCGGCTTTGACGTCAGTGGATCATAGATGAAGGTTGCTCAAACATAAGAAGGGAGATGAATAGTTAGGTGTCTTGGCTGAATGTGCCTTAAGCAACTTCGACAAAAGGCAGCAAGAAGGGAGATGATTGTAAGGATTGCAAAGGAAAAAAAAGCTTTGATGCTGACTGCAAGCCACGTCGGCGGTGACATCGCTCAGGCCTGTACAAATGCAATGGTGCGCAAGGCAAACATTTTTTTTGTGGGTGCGGTCCTTAGGTGCGGTCCTTACGCGTGTTTATTACAGTAATGACTTTCACTTTTACTTAGCTGAGTGTGTAAAAGTCGTTGCATTTTTTTATGATGCCATCATTTCTTTATAGTTTTGCATGTTTCTAAATGAAATACATAATGCAGTGGAATTTTTTTTCCATACTTGGAACCAAAAAGACATTGAAGAGAACAAACAAAAAAAAACTGTTTATTGTATTTACAAAGTAAAGCTAAAACGACAATGCCACTTTGCCAAACTGAAGGCCCCTCCTCCCCTTTAAGGGCCTTGTTGTAGGGCCTTCCCAAGTAACGTGAACATTTTTTCTCCCTGTTCAATATAGAAGTTTGCTGCCTTTTCATCATTTCGGCAGCCTCGCAGGCTGCCCTTGCTGCCCTTGCCTGCTCTTCCGATGCCCTTGCCTGCTCTTCCGTCGCCTTCAGTTTGGCAAGGAGGCACTGCCGTTCTAACTTTACGTTCTCGTGTTGTTGCTCCAAGATGTCTCTATAAAACTGTTTGTCTGCAGCCCATGTGCTGGCTGCGGGTGGTGCGCTGGGCCTCCAGACCAGTCGTCAACGAGGTGGTCCCCGCCGGCCTAGTGGTGCCGGTCGCCCTTCAGCAGCAGCTGCTGCCTCAGGCGGTCCCCTGCCGCAGGAGGAGGCCCCTCCCGAAGTAGCAGCGCAGCTGCTGCACCAGGCTCCACAAGTGCCTCATCCTCGTCCAGCGGCCAGTCCGGAGGCTCGTAGTCCAGGGTTTCTTCGGACTCTGGCACCTCGAGGAATGCGACCCCGGGGTCCACTTCAACTTCGTAGCTGAGGACTCGGTCCTCTCCAACCACTTCGTTAGTAGTTGGCTGCACGCTGACTGATGCTGTGCTGGCCCTAAGGAAAATACACAAGAATGTTAGTCTTGTCACCCTTGTACATAATTTGAGAACACTCTTATTTGGATTTCATTCACGCTTTTTGTGTGCATGTGGATCAAGCTCGACTCCTCAGCTCTCGGCCATTGCTGCTATGTGAAAGTATGTGGGCTTTAGTAAAGTCAGCCTACAGTGTGCAGGTCAAGCCCGATCTTGGCTGTTGCGGCTATTAGTTGTGAAAGCAGCTGGCTTCATGCAGATCCAGTGTGCAGTGTTGATGCCGGCCACATATTTCTGGTTGCTTGTCCCTACAATTCTGTTTTATGTCAAAAAGACTACCATGTTGAGCAGCAGATGTGCTCAGGGTGATTCCAAATTTAGTGGTAGTGTCTACTGGTCGATACTTAATAAATTGTACTCACTGTACACCATATTTGAACTGACTGCTCAGGATTACTTCTGATTTCTTTTATTTATCAATACTGTTCACACTTTCAGGGTGGTTTTATTCCAGAAAAGACATTCCTCATGGTATGCAATACGCATGTTGGAAGTGTTGCAAAAGCTTGACAACAGCATATGCTCAGCAGCAGCGAACTCAGCTGTGACAGTGAATGCTACCTACAAAATGAGCGAGATTTCAGAGCACTAATCTCGCACAAATATGTTTATGCAACAGACTGTCTCAGCTTTGTGCCTTCATTCATTTGACTTGCCATCTCAATACAACGGACCTGAAGCAAATGAGGTCCAAGCTTTGTGTTTGTGACCTTTGGGTCTACGTAGCAGTAGAGTTTTCAACATAAAACAATATATTTGTTTTGCTGTTTGTCATAGTTTGGCTTGACTTCATAAAAGTCTAGCCTGTATACGGTAGTCTTGCGATAATTCAAACTCGGATATTATACTTCTGGTTAATTCAAACAAATTTCCTCAGTTTGGTTGTCTCGCTATGTTCTTAGTGTATCCATACGCCGCTTAAACCTAATGCCGTTTTCCTGTAATTCATATTTTTTGTTCTTGCAGCCCTTTTGTTGAGTGTGCTTCTTTCCAAGCACCGGTACACTGCAGAAGGAACACCCATGGAGCTGTTGCTTCTCCGCAATGCACCGGCGCTAGGTGATAAGCGCACTCAACGGGGCTCATGCGGAAATTTCTACAGCAAGTTGCGCAGACGCTGTGATCTGGTAGCATGGCATACACCGAGCACTGGCACATTGCGGAGAAGCAACAGATCCATGGGTGTTCCCTCTGCAGTGCACCGATGCTCGGAAAGAAGTGTACTAAACAAAAGGGCTGCAAGAACAAAAAATATGAATTACAGGACAACGGCATAGAATTTAAGTGGCATAGCATGGGCAAGTCGCAACGTCCTCACAACTTGCTATGAAAACTGTGGCGCAGTGCCCGCTTTTATTGTTCACGTGCCCCCGTTTAATAGTTCACACGAGACAACTTCTTGACCCGATGAACAAACTGAACCTTGTTTTGAGTTGTCACGTGGTGTTTGAACAGCCCACAACAATGAACATTTTTGAGGGATAAATAAACTTTTGTCTTACATTTCACGAATGTTTCATGTGTAGCATACCTGGTTATGATCAGTAGGCCTATGTAAAGGAAAGCATGAAATATCTTCTGTGTATGTGGAGTCACTCACAAGGCGAATCATATTTTTATCTTGCATCATTATTTAGATAAATTTCTGATAAATCAAACAAAATTCATGGATTCCTGGAGTTTGAAATCATGAGAGTATAATGTATTTTGTAATGGTAGTGTTGTAGAAACACAATCCCCTTTGTCTTGTTCGCATTGCATGATACCTTTTTAAGATATACCTTCTACCATTTCAGCAGTGTACCAGCCTAAGTCTGCTATCATTTTTCTTTCCCAAACTTTCAAGACTCGGCCAACGGCGCTTGCAATGTTCAAAAGACTGCGTCGTCCTCCCCATGTACATGTCGGCTCATAATCACCATCATTTTAATCTTGCATCTCACAAGATTAGGTCGTGATCTTACATCATCACATAATCACCATCACAAGATGTGGCGTTGCGGGCGTACCTTGCACGGGCTGCTGCCTTTCTACAGTGCCGTGGCTCTCCTAATCCAATAATTACTATTATTAATGTTTATATTATTTTTATTATCATCACTGATGAGCGCAGTGGTCTTTCATTGACACGCCTAGCTCGACTTTAACATCAAGTAACACGGCTCAAAGTTCTAGAGTTCTTGGATGTGCACGGTTCTTTCTTGCTCTGGAGAGAACACACCAGAACATTTCTTTGAGTGGCCCAGTATTTAGTACTTGCGAACTTCAGATATGACTATGAATACAATATTAGCTTTGCTAGTAGAACCCCCAATCGTGTGAATCTCGAAAGGCTAGATTTCGTACAAATAGCAGTAACATGACAGCTCACTCGTCGGTGTCTATGCCTCCTTCGATACCCAGAAGGTTGGGGCTTGTGGAACCGATGACCGCCAGCACAGCCTCAGCCAGCGGTGTCGGCGTGTGGTCGTTGCGCCCTGCGCCTGTGGAAGACAAGGTTCTCTTTATATTTTGTTTGAGCATTAAATTTTGCCTGATTGCAGCAGGCACATTCATTGTTTTGATTTGATTAATAGCTTTATATCTCGATTGCTTCTATAATTTAGCCAAGAAAATGAGAAAGTGGAAAAAAACTTCTTTAGCACACAGAATGTGTGCTTCATTTTTATGTGCAGTAAAAACATGTATAGTAAACTCACCGGTCGTGGAGTCTGCTCTCTTCGAGAGGGTCAGTTCAGCGCGGCTGCGAGATTTGAGGTTTTGCCACTGCCTTTTGAGTTGCGGCACAGTGCGCAGCGTCGATGGATGCCGCGAATTCATCACGGATGCGATCTCCTGCCACGCTTTTCTTTTAGCAGCTTTTGTAATATTGTTGTTAAATTTGTTCTTAATTATACGTTTTCGTTTCTCGATTTCGTAAACCAATTGAAACTTATCATCTTCGAACCAATTTGATTTCTTTACCTTGGGAGGCATCCGTGGTGGACCGGCGACATCCATGTCTGCGTGCAGCAAACTCAGACGGTCGTCTGCTAACTTAATGATCGAAACATAATTATCAACTTTTATTGCAAATGCTTCTGAGAAAATACGTCCAGCGCATTTCTTTTTCTTAAAAAATTGGGCGTCTAAGGACACGCAGGCATTTCTGTAGACAACTTTATTCGGCGTACGCACTGGACGTCGACGACGGTGGTGACAGACGATAGCGTACGAAGCAATATGACAGCGTTGGTGCGCACTAAACTCTACCCAAAACCGCGCATCGCTGACTTTTTTTTCTTCTTCTATTTTGCACAGAACCACGGTATGTACGAGGCATGTGCCGCAGTTTTGCGACTATCGTCGTTTCTCTTTGCCCAAACCGATCGCAGCGTAGCAGAAGCAGACGATCTCTCGCTTGCCGCCTCGCGTCGCCGGCGCTTTCTTATTGGACAGGAGGTCACAACACGTCACTTCCACATCCAGAATCTTCGGCCGTGTTCCAAAATTTACTCGGTCTCACTCTAGGGTAAAGGTTTTGTACCTTTGCGATCAAAAACCTACTCGCGTCCGGCATTACTCGATTTTTGTTGTCACGTGACATGATCTGCCAGGGTAACTCGGATCCATTCGAGTAGATTTGGAACGCACCCTCTGTTTCCTCCGGTATTTCTTCAGTTTTCCCTAGATTCCCTCTCTAGGTACTGCTCACTCCGTTCTTGGCGGTCTGGGTGCCAGACTCAAGTCCGGACTTGAGTCAAGACCGCGCCGGAGACCGTGCTGGATCCGTCTTGGTCTCAGTCACAGTCTCAGCCGAGACCGCCAGGCGCCTGAGTCAAGACTTGAGCCAAGACTTGAGTCAAGACTTTCTAGCAAGCGGCCCCAGGTGGAAAGGGAAGCAAGTGGGAGCTGAATGACAGGTCTGCGGTTTGTACGCTATATTTTACTGAGGACAATTACAAGAAGACAACGAAACTGAGGGTCCCTGCTTTCATCCGCACTTCCGACCCAATTTCCCAACCATCCACACTACATGCGTAAGGAAAACAGACCTGTAACGAAATGACCTCGAAGCAACCACAGTGATGGTAGCTCGGTAAAAGGAGCAGTTGCCAAACCTGAAGACTTAGCAGGAAGTCCAACTATAAATGAAGCTCACCCGCTTTCCGGTCGTGATGAAAGGAAAACTCCAGCTCCTGATACCTGCATAGAAGTGTGGAGCAAGAATGCTTTGATTGTTGACGAGGCATGCCAAACCTCGCTAAACCTTGTGCACATGATGGACGAGCTGAAGAAAACAGAGCAGCGACTCAAAGCGCAAATCGCACGTCAGAAGAGCGCGCTTCAAAAACTCACAAGCCAAGCACGACGAGATCAAGAAGCAGCTTCGAGCTTATGAGGACAACAAGCGGATCCGAGACTTCAGGCTATTGTTGGCAGCTTTCGAAAAAGGTGATAAGACTGCTTTGTTTATTAAAACTCAGGTCACCTGCTTCAGCAAGAAGAAACCGGTCTACTCTGAAGGCATTCTGAAAGAGTGCATGCTGTGGAAAGTGTGCTCAAACAAAGGTTATGACCATATCAGATCGAGGGGCCTTCTAAAGCTGCCGTGCCGCACCACACTTTAGAAATACGCTGGACAGTCAAAAGGAGAAGTTGGAGTAACTTCCCTCATCGAGGAGCGCCTTCGTGTAAAATACGAAAAGCTGACTGTTGAACAAGAATCTTTCTATTCTCTTATCATTGATGAGATGGCAATTGCACAGGAAGTTATCTACGATCGGCAGGTAGATAAAATCTTTGGACTTGTTGACATGAGCTCTGCAGAGCATTCAACTACAAATCCACAAGTTGCAAATCGCTTGCTGTGTTTTGTTTTGAGAGGGCTGTCAACAGCCTACGTCATACCAGCAGGCCACTTTTTCACTCGGTGCTTGAAGAATGACAAGATTTTATCTATGACCATGGAAGTGATGAGACAGTTGAACAAGTGGGTTTCCCATTGCCAGAATAGTAACGGACAACCACCAGATCAACATTGCTCTGTTCAGAAAGATTTTGAAGGATGGTGCACGTGTTCACGAAAGGGACCACCCGTCGTGGGAAGGTGATCCACTTCTCTTATCCTTTGAGTCGAACCACTTGATAAAAAAACCTTCGCAGCAACTTTCTGGAACGGGAAATGACTGATGGAGAGCAGCTTATTCAAGGAGGGCTCTACTTGAAGTTGTTTGAACTTCAATCCCAGCTGCTCGTCAAGCCCGTCGGGTTCCTCACAAGGTAACACGTTGAGCCAAACAACTTGGAAAAAATGAAAGCGTGTAGAGCCACAGATATTTTCTCCACCAGTGATATCTACGCTCCAATTCCTTCAAGAAAACCCGCAGTGCCATCTGGACAGCACGTGAGTTTCAAGACAGCGCTACCACAATTGATTTTATGAAGATGGTTGCGAAGTGGTACGCTTTCCTTGACATTGGCGCAGTGTAGCCATATGGACAGCAAGAGAAACCATTCTCTTTGCCAGATGATGAACATCTTTCCTGGCTTGAGCTAGATTTTTGTGGCTATATTGAAGAAAATGAAAAAGGAGACCTACAAGGAGGCAATACTCATGACGACAAGACTGACAATGGCTCAAATTGAGTACCTCCTTGAAAACGTCAAGTAGGTTGTTTTTTAGCAAAGCCTTATTAAATATATATTTCTTTTTGTTATTAACGCAATGTTTTCTTTTTTTCAGCTTCCACTGTGTCTTGACACGTGGCCTGAACAGCGATCCTGTAAAGTCACTATTCAGCTGCTTCAGGCAGTTTATTGGCGGCAATGATCAACTCGATGCCAGGGCTGCACTTTTCAGTGCAGAGACTGCTAAAGGTAGCGTTCCTAAGAAAGAGATATTTATATATACATAATGAACTCATTAGGTCATTCTTCCTGAAGGTTGGTATTCTGCAAGCGGCGAAAATGGGAAATGGTGCCTGTGAGGTCGGCGATTCAACTCGACGAGACTGTTCGCTTTCCTGCTGCCATTCAATCTGCTGCCAGGGAGCTTTCCAGTGAGCTCGGATTAATGCAGATGGGGTGCATACAGACCTTGAACTAGCACCTATCGCTTTCCTGGCTGGTTGCCTTGCACGTGCATGCGAAGAAAAGGTGTGCTCTTTCTTTTTGCAAGATTCCATAAGGCATCTTCATTTGGCTTTAATTTATAGAGGCCCTGCGAATGACTGATTTCGTGCACAGTTATCACCGCCAAATAACTGACTTGCTGTTTAGCTGTCGTTACAGCTTAAAGGAGCTGTGCAACGATTTTATTGTTGGAAGAATTTGCATTTTCTAATATTGACATCATTTATCTTGTCACAAAGGACAGAAAACACATCTCCTTCCTTCCAAATGTAGCAATTCCACCGCGTAATCGAGGGGCAAAATATTGAATATTTCCCGACCTGCAGCCACGAGCGGTGGCCATGAGAACCACGTGGCATGACGCAGTGATGTGATTGGCCTAAGCCGTTTTAAAGCACCTTTCGGAGCAGCCAAAACAGTGTTTTGGAGCAGCCAAAACAGTGTTTCGGAGCACCAAAAGTGGCCGTCGGAGCAGATATTCTTAGAAAAATAAAAATATTAGTTTTAGGTGCTGGACAAACAAAGTGCACTTTGCTCGCCGAAATAAACGAATTATGGTCAAGTTCGACTACCTAGGAGTCTTTCAAGGTGTAACTGAAATGTCAATTACATGACATATTTTGCAATGCTTCAGTTAAATGATACATATATATGTACCCACTATAGATAGATAAGAACCAAACTTCACACATTCAAATTTATTTGAAAACCAAACTTCACATATTAATATTCATTTGAAAATGACCAGCTTAATAGTAAATATCACAGCATAAGGTTTACTAATCATATAATATAATTAATGGAAGCAGTCCCCGACTGATGGAACACATAGCTACTGCAGTGCAATGCGAAAATGCACACAAGAAAAAGGTGCATTACAACCAGCGGGTACTTTTTGCTTTTCAAAACTTTCCGCAAAGCTGCTGCAAGCTCCGCTTTGGCTTAGACTAGTAATAAATGTCCACTTTCCATGTCTCCAAAGGGACATTGAGACATCCCACAAGTGTACAGTGCTGTAGGCGTTGCCGAGCAATTCTGAAAAACCGCTTGCCACCGTATTACTGATTCCCGACGTGCCAGATTTTCGTCAAAAATAAACAAAAAGCAGTGGATTGCAAGCGTCCCAGCTGGTGTCTCTGTCATGCAATCATGTTCGCGTGCAACTCAGGGCAACTTCGGCAGGCTTGCAGCTGCACGTGCTTCGTCGCGCGAGCGGAGACAACGGCTGTTCGATCGAAAGCGAAACCATGCCACTCCGCTCCGTCGCCAACTGGTCTCCAAAAATGTATGTAAAATGTAACTGCCCAGCATGCGACAAAAAACAGTTCAGCGGCGCGTGCTTGCAAGGCCGGCAGGCGAGGTACAAGCTAAACATACAGAAAAGAAGAACCTGAGCGCATCGATGCAGGACATCGCGAGTCAGGGTCAAAACGTTCTTGGAGCGCTTTGTGCAACGACTGAACTCGAGACAAACAAGCGCGCCGTGCGGGTTCAGCGTGCAGACATTGCCTTCTCTGCTTTAGCTAGCTCACTTCTCTTCACCAACTTTCTTGCGTGACAGATTTTTCATGTACCGGGGTCCCTCTCGAAAGAAAGCCAACCAAGAGATACCTAGGTAATCAATACTTCCACAGAGCAGTCTTTGAGTTAAAAATTAATTTTTGTAGTAGCGTATGTTTTAAACAAGAACAGGAATGTTGATGAACATGCGGCGGTCCTTATGTTTCGGTTTAGGAAGCTCCATATCTGTAGCGACGTGCGGACTGGCAGGCAGGACCAAATATAGTTTTCCCACGGCCGTTGCTTTCAGAAGCCGAGTGCTTCAGCTCAAAAAGAAACTCCCGCCGCGCAAAAACATAATTTCGTTTCGTGACGGCATGGTTGGT